ATTGAACCATCAATGTTCAGTTTTGTTGGCTTATGACTATCTCTATCCTTATGCTTTGGCTTCACCGGAATAGGAAATAGGAAATAGGAAATAGGAAATAGGAAATAGAAAATAGGAAATAGGAAATAGGAAATAGGAAATAGCATTAAAGGGGTTGAGAACTCAGGCAGTTTACCTGCCGAGGTAAAGGGGTTGAGAACTCAGGCAGTTTACCTGCCGAGGTTTAGCACAATTCATCACCCATTAATATTGTCACAGATTGAATGATTCATCATTTGCCACAGATTGAATGATTCATCATTTGCTCCCTATTCATCACCATTCAACAAAAAAATTCATCAGCCGTCACACCTCTCCTACCGGTACAGTACCCGTACCGGTACGTTCAAATCATTTTACGGCGTACTGTAGTCAGTTTGCGAAACCAACCCAAGAAAACTTTTTGCAATTTTCAACCTCACCCCGCTAGACCAGGAACCACCACGATGTATGTTGTACCTGTCAGATAGTTTGCTTGGGGAACAGCCAGAAGGATGTTCTCCTCGACTTGTCTTAGTGTGTTCTAAAACGATACAGAAACAATCAGTATGCTTGTCTGCATCAACCTCCAAGCGCTGTGGCCAACGAAATTCTTTAACAAATTTTATTAGTTGCGCAGATGTAGCTATCCATTCCTTCCGATGCATCGTCCTTAGATTTGATGATTGTGAATCTGAGTGGCTCCTCGTTCGTTCGTTGCGTTGTCTACTAATCGTACAATTAATTGACGATTCATTCCAAACGCCACCGCACTGATTGTCGTTTTACTGCTTGTTCCCAAAGACACGTTCTTCCACAAAGGCTTGCACAACCTTCAAGTCGTTGGGGCATTCTGACCGGCGGCAGTCCATACTCTCCAGCTTGGCAAGTTGCTCCGGTGGTGGTGGCAATGGATCCACAGCTCTCTGGACGGCAGCTGGAAATTTTCCGGGATGTGCCGTGGCCAGGGAAACCGTCTGCTCATTGACTATTCCGAGTTGCTGAATGGCGCTGACTCCCACGGCACTGTGCGGGCAGAGCAAATAGTCGTGTTTTTCTTGAAACTCCTTGATGACATCCAAAGTCATGGCCGTATCCGCTCGTGCGGACAAAAAGTCGGATTGCGCCTGCTTGAGCAGATCTCCCGAAATATCGAGCTTGCGTGTGGACTCGAATCCCTGCATCCAATCGGCAAGTTTATCGGGTTGGTTTCCTGCCAGATGGAACAAGTATCGTTCAAAGTTGCTCGATACACAAATATCCATGGATGGCGAGATGGATTTGGCAATGGGTTCCCGGTGGTATTCTCCCTTGGTAAAGAACCTGTGGAGGATATCATTTTCATTGGTGGCCACGATGAGTTTTCCCAAGGGAACGCCCATTTGCTTTGTGTAAAATCCCGCCAGCACGTCACCAAAGTTTCCCGTGGGAACGGAGAAATTGACAGCGGCACCGGGATGCTTGTCGGTGATGCGGAGATAACTCCAGAAATAGTAGGTGGTTTGTGCCAATACACGGCACCAATTGATGGAATTGACGGCACCGAGATGGACCTTCTCTCGAAAGGCGGGTGTATTGAAACTGGCTTTGACGATATCTTGACAATCATCAAAGGTGCCCTCCACTGCCACACAGTGAATATTGCTGTCCAATACAGTGGTCATTTGCCGTTCCTGAATGGGCGAGACACGTCCATTGGGGAACAAGATGATGCAATCAATACCCTTCTTGCCACGCAGACCGTAAATAGCCGCCGATCCAGTATCTCCCGATGTAGCTCCCAAGACTGCCAATCGTCCACCGTTGGATCCGGTTTCTAGAAAGTATTCAAAAAAGTTTCCCAGCATTTGCAGGGCGACGTCTTTGAAGGCAAAGGTGGGGCCATGGAAGAGCTCCTGTTTGGTAGAAAATTGGTCGCAGATTGTGAGGTTTTCGTTTCATTCTCTTTCCTTTTTCTAAGATAAATCCAAAGGAACACTCTCTGGCAACATCTCGGCTATACGGTATGATGACGTACCAACACGGGAATTCCACCGGCATGTACAATGGGAGTGACTTCGTCGCTGCGAAAGGCAGCACAGGAACGCTTGACAATATCCTCCAACTTGTCGCGGGGAACTTGGTCGTCATGGACAAACTTAGCAATCACATTGACTGCCAAGTCGGCATACGAGAGTTTGCGCCAGGCTTCCAATTCTTCCGAGGAAACTTGAGGGAACGAATCCGGAACAAAGAGACCACGATCATGGGCCAATCCTTGCATGACCACCTCGCGAAAGGTCAAGTTCTTTTGGCCGCCTCGAGTAGAAGAGTATGTCACAGAAGTCATGGTGAATTATTTTTGTGGAACAAAGCAAGCTGCAAATTGGTAAACAATAAGAGGTGGAGGGATGAAGTAAGGTAGCAAATAATGGGCGGTGTGCTCAAACTAATTGTGATTGCTGATTGTTCGATGTTTGGATGCAAGAAATGACTGGGGATGGCTTTGGTTGAAGCACCACGTTGCTTGGTGGCAGCGTCTTTGATTGGTTGATTTGGACGAAACTAAGTGCGTACACATCTATCGGAAGAAGGCCAGACCGTGGAATGATTCAGACTCAATCCGTGGGATTGAATTCGGAGTCGAGTCGGATTGATTCGAATAATTTAATCGAATCAATTCGATTCATTCAGTCATCATCTTGCCGCGGGAGTTTTGCGACACGACCATCGCATCCTCCGACGCGACGGGACGGACGAACGGAGCATCACAACGAGCTGCTCTGTATGTGACAATGACGGTGCCACCGGCGCATGCGCCAGTAAGCTGCCAGTTATCAGTTGAGGAACCTTCTCCCACTCATTCAGGTTTTCACGCACTCCACACAACTGAAGCAATTCACTGGAACCAAAATGTGTGTCAAACATACAAAATGGGTTGCCAATACAAGGCACAGCATTGGAGGCAAGGCAGAGACAGCGGCTTGCACGTCCCTGCAGACATTATCTTCTTTGCTTGTGTGTTTGTGGTTCCTTCATTATTTAGTTTGGTGCAGGTTTTACAATGACTGCTCGGAGTTGCCGCTATCAGTTTCCAGCCTGGGATGACGCCAATCTGATTATCCCCATTGGAGCCCACACTCCCCTTGCCCGCAACCTGCCTTCGTGTCTGACCGCCAAAATACTGGGGGTGGGTGGCGAAGATGTACCAATAGTGTACTGTGGAGCCACCTACTTCCCCTTGTCTTTTCAGATCAAGGAATTCAATCAGGCCTTTATCGACATCAATGACAACAAAGGGTGGATGATTGCGAGGAGGGACCAGAAGGTGGTTTTGGTTGGAGAGTCCAACAATGGCAGGTTCAAGGTCCAAATGGCTCTAAACTTCTATTCGGAATCGCCAACCTTGATCTCAGCGTACCCAGTGTCACGAAAAGACCGACATTTGCAAATTGACTTTTTGAGGTTTGACAATGGTGGGAACCTGGTCCACAATGGGATCTTGCACCTCTTGGCTGGCTTGGGACGAAGAAGTCCCATGGTCCTACAGGAAATTGCAAAAGCATTCATTGCCTCTACCAATGACAAGAAAGTGCTCTCTTGCCGAGGATTCTGTAAGGACTCTTCGAAGCATAATGCAGATTGTCCAATCAGTCAAATGCAAAGCCAATGGCGGGATCCTGAGTATTTGAAATGGAGAGATGAAAAGTACTACCACTATTGGCGGTACAACAGCATAGAGCTAGGAGCTCCTTGGTACTTTGTACTCGATCATGAAAAGTCCATGACATTGGTGCTGCAATGCTGCAATCGACATCCTTATGCGGAACTATATTCCATCCCTTGGGATGCCCACCGAGAAAGGAAGCTGAGGAAGCTGACCAAAAAGGCCACAATGTACTTCACAGAGCAGGAAAAGAAGGTTGAGAAGCTAGACAGTATCGCTAGGAAAATTTGGCGTGAAGGCCGGCAACGAGATTCCAACAAGCTGGTGCGGAAAAGCAGAGGGAGCCTGGAGGTTATTGGCTTTGGGCGCAATCCCCAGGAAGAATTCTTGATCCTGCATCCAGCACGCTACATTGGATACAGATTCAAGCCACCACCATCAGATGGTCAGAGTGCTGATGGTTTTATGCGTTATGGTGACTTCTTTGTCGGATACAATGCAGAAATGGATGATTCGATACGTGAATTGTCTGCAGAGGTGAGAGCCTACAATCAGGCAAAGACTGATATAGATGGAGCTCAATGGGAACAGATCACATCCGGAGCATGCATGGGAGTCCAAGAAGTGGGCCCTGGAGTCTATCACCTCAATTAAAGCTATCACTTTTTTAGTACAACGCCATAATGCAAAAAACAACACATTTGCTAAAGCCCGTGTATGTGGAGCCGCGGTGAAATACGAGACAGTTGTGTGCAGAGGCCGTGTGGGCCATGGTCTCTATTCCGTCCAGTTGAGTTCCTCGTGCCGACAATGTGTCTTGGGTCGCGTCCATCGTCCACGTGCCAATTACTTCTTAGTTAGAAGAAACATCCGGTCCTCATCTGGAACAGAAGAAATGCCAAAGTCAAATAGTCGGGAAGCTCAGAAGCTGACGCCAAGGTTTCCAACCATTCCTTCTTTTCTGCCTCGGTGAAGGCCATTGGACTGTCGAAGATGGCCTTCTTCACTTGATTGCGGCGCGTGAACATCTCCAACTTGGTGTTCAGTGAGTGTGTTGTGACCGGCTTGCCGTTCCTATTTTCCACTCCCAGCAGTGCATTGTCCGTGCCTTGGATTTTCAGATTCTGCAAGTACCAGTTGTCTGGAAGGGCTTCCGCAATGGCATCCTCCTCGCATGGTAACAACTCTTCCAGCAGCGAGATCTCGAGCGAAACCAAATTCTCGCCGATGTTGCCCACAAATGTCGAGACTGTGTCTGGTATTTCAGCGCCAAGGTTATCATCTTGGATTTTTAGGGTGTGCAGTTTGGCGTTTCGACAGAGCGCTTCGAACAACGAGGATACCAAGACGTCGTCTCCGTCGTCTTCGCCGCACGTATACGCGGATATGGTAAGCTCGCAAAGCTTGCAACCTTCCGCCTCTAGAATACTGCAAAGGCAGGCGGTGTCCTCGTCCCGAAAGCTGCAGTTTGTCAGTGTCAAGCACTTCAATGATTTGGAGGTGCAGGCCGCCATCAAAGCAGGTCCGAAGAATGCCAAGCAATCCGTGGAGAGCTTCAAAGAGGACAGGGAACAGCTTTCAATACCCCTTTCAACATACTCTTTTTTCGGATCCACAAGGTAGCAGTCGTCCCAGCTGTTAATGTGGCATTCAAATCCGAGCGATTCAAGACTTTCACATCCCAGTAGACGCTCGAAATCTTTACCGGCAAAGCCCTCAGCAGTGATGAAGTTCAAATCTCGAATGCCGAGAAGGTTCGACCGCAAACCTTGGAAGAGCTTTTTCTTGGCCAGTTCATCCAGTGTACATTCTTGCAAGACAAGCTTTATCGATTGGCTTCCAGCTAGACCCCACAGCAAGCCATCCATCGAGGAATACCAACCGTTGGAGTGAGCAAAGTCGATGCCGCGCATGTGCAGAGTTTGAAGCTTGCAATTCGGTGACTGCAGAAAGGAGGACATTTGGGGACTCCAGGTGGCCATTTCGAGGCACTCAACAACTTGAGTACCCTTTGATTTCGCAAGTCTTTGCAACACATTGGATACGCTCTTCGAATGATGCTCGCTCGTGGACTTCAATCGTATGTTCGGAATGCCGTGACTCTCGGGAAAAGCCTTGGAGAGACCGCGAACGCAATGAAGCTGGAGTTCTTGCAATGAAAAGAGAGGCAGCGGTAGATCTCCTCGAGCTACCACTGCTTTCAGTACGCTTCGAGAGACGTCGATCTTTCGAATGTGCTTATTCTTCGAGGCTGCTTGCATGAGGAGATGCCCGACGTTGGAAGATCCGTCCTCCGAGTCATCGAGATGAAGACTGCGCAGAGACGGTGCGTTCGAGATGAAATGAGAGAGACCCTCCAGACATTCTTCACGTACCGACTTGCCACACAAATCAACAAGGAGCCACTCGATTTGATGATTCTTTCGCAGAGTTGCGCCGACAAATTTCATTTCGTCCTCTGTGCTGAAGTCGCTGAATCGGAGCGAAAAGGAACGCGACAAGGTCTCATCGTTGTGGCTGTATCGAGTCAATTCCAGCGCCTTTGAGACAGCTATGATACTCTCTCCGACCGACATGGTCTCTTTGCTGTGTTTTACCAAATGTGCTGGAACAAGGTGGGCGACAACGCTCGATGGCGAACAGGAAATGAAGAGCAGGTGATTTGATTGTGAGAGGTCGGTGCATCCCAGCGACGCGAGACGGCGAGCTCGAAAGAAATAATGAGGACGAGTGACCCAGTCACGCAGTCGAACAATCAAATTCATGAGAACAGATCCTTCTCACTTTTTGGGTTCGCTTCAGATTTTTTGACGAGCTAACAGTCAAAGCACATCAATGGAATGATGATTGCTGCCCTCAAGCTTCTTCGTCTTACAGCTTGAAATCAGAAAAGTGTGTAATTGAAACACAACATACGATGAAACCTGTGCATGAGCTCTCAACTATTTCTGAGGAGGAGGAAGTTTACATGGCCATAGCGGCCAAACCATGCGTCGAACATACCTGCATCAACATCGCTACCATCTCCACCGGCTTTGGGAAGGGAGACTTCTTGGTTCGAGAGGGCTACGAGAAGGGTAACCGCATGTACTTTGACTATTTTGAAGAGGTAATGCTTTCGCGCACCCCCGTTGATTGTGATTTACACGTCTTATCTTGGATTGTCCTTTTCCCTTTCGAAGGCATTCAACTACCTGGCAAACAAAGGGTACTCACGGGTGGCACAAGACGACGAACAGAGCTGGATCGACACAATCAATGGAATCTACCACATCTTCAAAGGTGAAATGAAATACAACGCTGGAGCATTACAAATGGTACTTTCCCGACCAGCACATACGGTCAAGTACTCCTCAAGAGTGTGCGACAAATCATCGGACACTCAAGCTGTCAAAAAAACCTCGAGAGTTTGCGACAGCGCTGAACAAAACAAGCCGGTCGAATGGAACCCTGAGTTGTTTGTAGAAGATCGGGGCATGGACTCAAACGAAATGGTTGCAACTTCAAAAGAAAGTCAAGTCTCCATGCAACCTGTCACTCCCGTTACTGTTTGCACTGGATCTGACTCTGACTCTCACGACAGTCCTATTCCCACCAACGACCTCGAAAGAACCAAAGGACAACACAAGGTGAACAGCTCCCTTGATAACGTGCAGCCCTATGAGAAGCCTTGCCCGGATGTATGCGGTGCCATGCCCACGCAATCTGAGAAGCCCCGTGCAATGTCGCCAAAACACCAGCGAGTCGACGACGAAGAAGTTTTGGATGATAGCACCGCTTTCAGTACCGACGATGAAGGTCACGAGCATGTATACATAGGCTCCTGCATCACAGAGGCCTCTGACAGTTCATGGTTCGATAGCATTAACAGTGACATCAAGTCTCCGCTGTTACGGCATTCTGATGAAAGCACGTGTTCCGAGGTTTTTGAGACTACACATGGAGCTGCATTGCCCTTCCGCCCGGGAGGCGCCAAAACCAATAAGGATCTCAAGCTTGCCCCTGTCGCCGCTGTCAACGACCAACCCGTCAATTTGCTTGCAAGAAAGCTGGAGGGTAAGGCACCAGAGCCACTGTGTCTACAAGCTGTGAAAGACAACCCAGAAGAGGCAATCAAGGAGTACCGTTCTGCCCTGTCCATCCTCCTCGAGACCGAGTCGGATGCCAACGACTCCGAAGTGGCAACAATCTACAGAAACATTGCATCGGCTCTTGAAGCTCTTGGCCAATGGGCAGAAGCGTTGGTTGAACATCGCAAGGCTCTAGGAATCTCGAGCAAGGCCAACGGGCCAAACCACCCTGACACAGCACTCTCTCATCAGCGCATCGGCATGATTCTTTGTGGACAAGGAAACCTGGACCATGCTGTGAATCATTTGAGCAAATCTCTTGCCATTCAGGAAAATACCCAAGGAAAGCTCCACAAAACAACAGCTGCTGGCCACATGTTCCTTGGCAAGACTCTCCACAAGAAGGGTGATTTCGACAAGTCTTTAGAAGAATCACGGGCAGCACTTGCAATCTACGATGCTTTGGGCCCAAGGGGGGCGGTTGAAGCCAAGTGCCTCGAGAGTATCGCAGAGACACTGTGTGCTTTGGACAGGATCGACGAGGCGCTTTTGGAGCTCAACGCAGCCCTCGAAGTATCCGCTTCCTACGTCGACGAGCACCCCTTGATGTTGTCCAGTCTTTGTTTCAAGGCAGGGGTAATGTTGGCAAGAAAAAAGAAGCTCGACGCGGCCCTTCCCAAACTTCGTCGAGGACTCGAGGTTGCTGAATCAGTCCGTGGACGAGATCACCCCGAGAACATTCCATTCCACTTTCAGATTGCAGAGGTCCTTCACTCCCAGCATAACTACGAAGACGCTCTCTTTTCCTACAAAACATCTCTGGTAATCCGACAAATGCACAACATTCCGGACGATGCGCAAAGTGCTCTGACGTACACCAAACTTGGATTGGTGCACATTGCTCTTGGGGAGCCTGAAGTTGGCATTTCTGTCTTTGCCAATGGTGTCGCCATTTTTGATGATGTGCTTGGACGCGACAACCCGACCACCATTCTAATGATCACCGCCCTGGGACAAATTGGCATAGCATTCGGCTTGTCACCGGACAAAGAAGAGGAGGAAAATTCTGGAAAGCGAGGCTTGCTGGGATCGATGAAACGTAGACTCGGTTTTGGTAGGAAAGGAATGTAGCTAATAGAAAGTAGTGTAAACTATTAGCTCGGTTCGCATACCGGTATTCTATCACTTCTTGTTGGCAGCGACATATTCAGTGAACTTGTCCTTGTAGTCCGGATGCCAACGACTGAGCGGTGCACGATCCTGTGAGAAAAAGGCAGGAAATGGGGATTGTGAGACGCATCAGTGGGCAGAAACTTTTGCTAGGAAACCTTTGGTCAGTTCTAACCTGAGTGATGTCTTGCATCGTCCATGTCATGCGCAGATTGTCAGTTTCTCGATCTACATCATTGTCCGGGCAAACAATATAGAACCTTCCTTTGTCCAGTTCTGCAATCATAAAGTCGACCACTTGCTTGGGCATCCAAGCCCCACCAGCGGGTTTGTCTTCATGGAAAAAGACAGAATTCACATCGAATGCGTCTCCCTTGGCAAGAGCAGCCGATCGCATACTCTTCAATACAATGGAGGTATTGACCCATCCAGGGATCAGCAAGGCCGCTCGCAGTCTTCCGCCCTCGTCGATCCGAGCCTTCATGAGTTCATGTTCCAATCCTTCCGTGTAGGCCTTGAGGGCAGCCTTGCTGACATTGTAAGTAAGGTTTCCTGGCGGCATCGTAATCCCCTGCTTTGAGCCTGTGTTCACAATGATTCCTGGCTCCCCAGAGGCTTTCATTTTGGGGACAAAGGCCACACATCCATGCATGGGTCCGTAGGTATTGACATTCATAACCTTCTGGACTGTCGACATGTCCGTCATGGCTCCACCACCTTGGCCAATTCCGGCATTGTTCATCAAAATGTGGCATTTACCTCCATCGGCAAAGACTGCCTCGGCAAAGGATTCTACGGCTGCGGCATCAGCGACATCGACTACTTGAATAGCAATCTTGGCGTTGGCGTTAGTGGAAGTCAACTTTACAAGTTCTTGAGCTGCCTTTAACTCTTCTTCATCAATGTCTGCCATGAACACATTCATGCCGGCCTTGGAAAATTCGAAGCATGCTGCCCGGCCAATGCCTGATTTGACATGAAAAGAGCACTGTGATTGTGAGTGACGGTGGCGTATACCGGTAGTGCCCCCAAATCGACGGAATCCAGAAGTCTACCGTAGGAGCCACACCAGGATAAGCACTCAGAACAGTACTAACCACTACTGGCACCAGTGACAACAGCTGTGTTGCCAGCTTTGATCAAAGAAGAACAAGATATGGATGATGCGTCCGCCATGTTGGAGTCTATGTTAGTCCCTTGGATAAGGTTGCATCAATGGAGCTTTGATCAATCTGGGATCTGGGATTCTCGGTTGCTCAAAGGACTTACAAAAGATCGATGCTTTCAGTACCGTTCAATAAAGCTCTGGAACACATACGTCTCTCTACTAGACACTCAAAACTTACCGGAAGGTCCTGCGAAACATGAAAAGGTGGAATTGAAAATTTATTAATGTTTTTTAAAAATTAACGTGAATCGAATCGAATCGCGAGCTTCTATAATCATGCTCCTATTCACACATAGGAACGTTATTACAAAACTCACGGACCAACACTGACGACGGCATGGTGTAGGCGTTCGGTGCTCTGACAATCGTGGCGTGGCGTTTGTCTCCTCCTCGTGGATCACCCGTCGACAGACCGCTGCAGCCAGGGGATCCTGAGGTGAGGCTACTAGACCGGGGTTCCCAAAGTGCTCAACCAGGCCTTCTTTCGAGGTGTAATGCCTTGGCTTCCGCCAGCGTATTGATGGTCAGTATCTTCTTGAATGGGATTGCCCTTGAGGGTTTGCTCTATTTGCTTCCGCTGCTCCTCGTTGTCGACCTTCACAATATCCAAGATTTTCGCAATCCAGGACTCCTTTGGCAAGAGCTTCTCCATCACTTGCAGGTTTGGAGGAAGTCTCTTTGCAGTGAACTCTTTTTGCGCTTAGCGACACGAAAGTACACAGCAATCCATTCCTGGTTCGGGTGTTTCTTGGCGAGTTTGATGGCTTCGTGAAAAATTTAGTGCGTTTTGCATGCTCGTCAGTCACTCCGCTCTTGCATTCAAGGATAACTTTTTTGCCATCCTTCTGTCGATAACCGACATCAATCCATAGATTCTGATGTGAGTTGGCTTCATCTTTCACCCACCAAATGACAACATCATCCCCAGCCTCGGGCATGGCCTCCCAAAGCTTGGGTTTTCGGTCAGGTCTTTAATCCATGATGTCCTGATGGCGGGTGCCACAATTAAGCAGCTGCTCAACCTCCGATCTGGCGCATTGAAGGTCATAAACAACCAGAGCTTCAAATAGAAAGCCAATGTTGAGCTCCTTGATGGCTGAAGTGCGGAGGAAACTCAACAAGTCGCTGCTAGTCTCGCCTGGTGCTGCATTCCCCATGGTGTTTAAGAGGATTTCGAGAACGCAGCCAGTCGGGAGATAAACCTCGACTGTCCTGCGCCCGTCTCCACCCCTAGATTCGCCCACACTCTTTAGATTTAGCCCTCCCCCCCGCACATACCGTACCGAAGATCCATGTCATCCGCATCAATGGAAACAACGTTGGTTTTGGATTGGTCCGTTCCAGCAGCAATAGCCTCCAACAGGACTCGAAAGATGCGGCAAGCGGCTGGGGCTGCAGCATGTCCACCACCATGTTGCGAGGTGATGCTGTTCGAGACCCTCTGCCGTGCATTTTTGTAGAGTCCAGAAGCAGGCTCACGAAGGCCCCTGTCCTTACTTCTCCAGAGCTCCATCAAGAAAAGCTCTGTCACCCGCCGATTATGGCGGCAGCGGTCAAAGAGACCATCCAATGAATCGTCCACCTCCCGCTCAATATGATTTCTGTACAAGTTAAGCACAAAGCTTTTTGGAAAGGAACCAGAAGTGAAAATTGGAACAGGCCTGAGATGACTTCCGAGGTGAATCGGCTTGTTGGCGTTCCCGTAAAGATGAACTTCAGCATGCGGTTTTGGTTGCCTCTGGTAGAGCATTTGGCAGCAAGATTCTGCAGCTCCGCCTCCCCGCCATGAGAGTCCAACCAGACTTGTACTTCGTCAAAGTGAACTATAAGAAGCTCGTCTTCATTGCATTGTGCAATAGCATTGACAACTAGCTCATCAATTTCGCTGAATCCGAAGTCGCACAGGCGCCATCTCTCATGTTTCGCACCCAGCGTCTGCGCCGCCTCCCTAATTGACCGCGTTTTCCCGGACCCTGGCATTGCAAAAAGCGCTGCTTGTGCCTTGGCGTCATCAGCTGGATCTGTGGGTCTAGCCATGAGAAATTCTTTCACGTCAGCAATCGTTTGGTCGTTGTGCCGGTCTGGGATGCGCTCGAGAAACGGGTTGTCGGAGAAAAGAGTCTTAATTTGCTCACGGAGTTCAACTTCATCCCATTTTGTGCCCATTTCGTTGGATACGGACGGATTGGTCTTGGGTGAATCGAATCGCTTGACCTGGTAATTGTAACAATTGTCCTGATCTTTCTGGAGTTGCTGCACTGAGTACGTCGCGTTTGTCATGGACTCCCACTTTCCCGTGCTCGAGAGGACTGCCGCTTTTCCCTGGTCGCGAATGATTGCGATGTCGCTATCAGAACTAAGCAACGCCCACAATGCTTCCAAGGTTGTCGGGATAGTCACGCCGCGAAGAAGATGGCGACTGAGGACGGTGTCGTGGTCTGAGAGTAATTTAACTACGAGGTCACCGTTCTCGGCAGCTGGCTGCTGCAGCTGCAGCTGCTGCTGCAACAACAGTGTCTTCTGCTGCAACAACACCCCCTCCAAGGCCCGCAACTGTGTCAATGTGATCTACCAATACGCTTTTCGATCGTTTTCGGCCGACTCGAGTTCTTTACGGGTCGTCTTGATATCATTCCCCACAGTCTTAAAATCTTCTTCGACATCTGCCAAGCGCTTCTCTGTACTGGCGATGTTGTCCATCCTTGCTCGTTGTTGTTTTGCTTTTGCTGGGGTCTTTGGGAAACGTGTGGCAGCAACACATATTCCGTTTCGCTCATTCTCGGAGTGATCTGTTTACATGTACTTTGCCCAGATTCATTCGAGTCCCTGACATGCGGGACTAATGTGCTTGTTTGGAAGTTGGGAGAATGGGAGGAAGGGAGCTCGGAGCTCGGAGCTCGGAATGGCGGCTCAAAGGGCTTACAAAAGATATCTGCTTTCAGTACCGCTCAATAAAGCTTTGGAACACCAAGCTCAGTACATGTACGCTCGAAACTTAGTTATTAGAAAGTTCCATAACCCGCTCATCCGGTAGATGTACACGACCAGTACTAGTACCAGTACCAGATCTACATCTCCACTTTGAAGGTGCTTGAAAGCCTACTAGTACCGGCAAACGGATAAAGCTTCTACCAGCCCACTCCACACGGAGAAGCACCCATACCGGTATCCCTGGGCTGTAATAGTTCCCAGGCTTACCCTACAAAAGCAAGAAACAAATGGAGTTCTCAGTCCAACACCAAGCTGGGGAACTGATCGCCACAATCAGATGCTGCTCTGCTTTCTTGAGGATGGTATAAACCAAACGGTCTCGTGGGAGATGAGCCATGGGCAGTGTAATTCCATTTGACTTGAATTTAGACATGGGGGAACTCCTGTGAGCCTTCCTGGACTCGCCGTACCTTCCCTGTAGCAGGTGCAGACATGATCCAGTTCACAGCATCAGCAATGAACAGCAGCACTTCAGCTTGTGTTGGCAGTCCTGTATCACTTGTAATGGTCCTCAATTCATCGCTCCTGATCTCATGGAACCCAGTCCTTAACTTTGACTCTTCTTTGCTTAAGCCTGTCCCTTGCTGGCTTCCGTAGATAATCCACCTACTCTAAACCCCCCGTCCCCCGTCATCTTGCTACTAGTAGTAGACAACTTTCAGAGTGCTGGCCATGCATGAACCCTGTCGGTAGTCTTATAATCACTCTAACCCTCGTGTTTGAGTCGAGTCTCTCATTATTTTTGGCGGTTCACTTCAAATCGTGGAAGCTTCTTCCTTTCGGGCTGGCGTGCTACTTGGGAAGCAGCTTGGACGCAGAGAGGTGCACCCAAAAAACTCCTTTCGTCCAATTCAACGACGATGATGGCCAGACTGTTGTTGGCAGCTTCCGACACCGAGAAACAAAACCATTCGTCCCACCATTTCAACGACCCCGAAACCGCATCGTAACGTTGCTTCCCATCTGCTAAAACTTGTCTCCCACCTGTAGTAACCATTAAAAAGTGACAGTGGTGCACTGAGAGCACCTGCTGGGGCTTTATCCCATTTCGGGTTTCGTGCGGAAGCAGCCTCGCCCGTTCATTTCGCTCACAGCCGCAGCAACAAGAACCGCACCACCATGCCCGTCTTTCTCCTCCCCATCCTTGCTGGTGGCTACTACTACTACAAGAACAAACAAGAGCAAGAGAGCGCTACTAGTCTGGACTCGGGCGATGAGACTACTGGTAGCACCGCAGAGCCAGCCACACCCGCAACGCCCGACAGCGCTACTACTGATACAGCGGAAGAGTGTCCGTCCATTGAAGTCAGTCTGGTGTCCCAACAACCACCACCGCCGCAGCCACAAGAAGACGACGAAGAGATTCGAACCGTCACGAGCCAAGTCCTGACGCGAAAAGAGAGCACAGATACCGTCCAAACGGAGACGTCAGTCGATGAAGAGATCGAACAACCGCAACGACGGCCAATAGATAATTCTACCTATGGCTCGAGCTTGCTGGCGAGCTCTTGCGTGGACTGCGATCAAGTCGCCTTTTTGGAAATGGTGGAGTGCGGGAACAGCAGCGATTGCGATTCCAGTTCACCATTCCGGACCATTATAGAGTGCTGACGATATACACCGCTTTTTATATTATATTTTCCAGCGGGGAGGATGTGGGGGCAACCACGATATTCAGGTTGTTGCTCTCGCATTGCCGTTTTTTGTAAATTACTCCTAGTTAATAGCATTTCCTTTCCTTGGCTCTCTTTTTTTAAAATCACTGGATGCGATACTTGCAAGTATTCGCAGCTAGCTCTGATTCCATGGGCCGCAGCACCTGTTAGAAAAAGGGACCCTGGGGCCTCTGGCTATGTGTTAGTTGTATTTGGGCAAAGCCCCAGAAAGTATTCTTTTGACTTGCATTGGTTGGTTTACTTGCCCGAGGCTTCCAACTGGAGGGGAGGAAAGGACAATTACTATGCAATCGATCGCTGACCAATGCTGTATCTAACGAGTTGTTATTTTAGTTTGAAGCAATTTGCTGCATTCGTCAGCTACCGAGAGCTACCGTTTGCTGGGCTACATGAGAGTACTCATACATGATGGCCGAAAATTCCTGCAAGGTATCAAGGATTTTAGATTCATTCAGAACAGCATTAACTTGTGGCTATTTTCTAGTTTACCCGTACCTGTGGCGAAAGGTGAGGCAGGCACAAGCCGAAACACTGTCTGTTCTCAGTCAAATAGCATAAATAATACTTCAAAACTAACTGGTGCTGAACGTTCGGAATCAGTACAGCCACGGTGCTGATTGTTGCAATTCTGTTTCATAATTTGGTTCATTGAAAAGTCAACTTGAAAAAGATGGCCAGCAAAACACATTGCAATCCAAATCGTCCCACATGGCCCCACGGATAGGGAACGCTGGGCGCTCCTGCCATTTGAGCATCGTGTGTGAACATGTAGATATTGGCAGGTGTAATGGCTGCCGTCAACAACCCGAGCAAAAAGGCAGGAATCTGCACGGGCAGGACACCCAATCCACCTGCAATCAATCCAAGACCACCTCCAATTTCCGCCGCACCAGACCAATAGCAGTGGAATTCTTCGTAGGACAAATCCAACTTGTCAGCTCCTGGAGCTGGGATCTGCCACAGACCACCCCACGTGCCTTTGGGTGGAACAATGCTGCAATAGGCTTCTGAAATGGCAAAATGCGACACTCCAGCAGCCAGAAAGATAACACCCATGGGAACGGGCCACGTGTAGTCTCTCCAGAGCTCGTACCATCCATTTGGTAGGATGGCCTCGGCAAATCCCAAGAGTTGAATGACAACAACTGTGCCGAGCGCAATCCCAGCACAAATGCCTGCAAATCCGAGTTGTTGTTGGGTATCATCTCTCGCCGACAGCAAAATCGAAGGGTCGGGGCGAGGAATTTCTTCGACAGCCGTTGTCGTCTCATCATTCTGAGCTTTCAACCAAACGGATGCAGCCTGCCACGTAGGTTGCCTGCGAATCCTTGTCCCGATTTGGGACAAACCGGGTGTATGAGACGCCGAAAAGGCTGCAGCTCCAGAAATATTCGAGGCAAAGGCCGCCACAAGCACAGCGGATGATCGGCAATAGCTCTTCATCTTTCTTTCGCTTTGCCAGTGGTAGCTATTGGTCGCATCCAACAAGTCAGTGCGTTGTGAGATGGGCCGTTCGATGATGCGAGGATCGAAAAAGATCCAAGAATGATCGAACTAACTGATCGAAACTTCATTCGACGATTCGAATCAAATCGGGTCGAATCGAATGATTGAATCTTCAATCATTCGATTCATTCGATTAGATTGATTCATCATTCTACTGTGAGACCACGGACTTTTAAAAACTCGACGACAGCATGATGCACTTTTAGAGCAATGTGGAGTTCTAGATGTCGCACATATGGCGAGGTTTAAAGGTTATTAGTGCTGGATATCTTAATTAATACGCCTGCGTGCAAAGAAGCGAACTGCTTCCAGAATAGGGCTCGCAAAATACGTCCGCGGTATCTCATGCACTATGGACTCAACTCCAGTTTAGTCCTGTTGATACCGCAATGCATGACAAATCCACCATGGGAATTGGGCATAGCCAAGAAAGGCCGTGCTATTTGCTGGGTCAACATTCACACCAGCTGTCAGAATACTAGTAACCGCTCAATCACTTTTCCATGACTGGAAAATGAAAAAGCCCTTTACTAGTACCTTGAGTGAAACGATCAATACGAAGCCATTGGAGACCAAACCAAGCCTATTAACCTCGTTAGTAGTGTTGCCACTGTCAGTATTGGCAGTGGCAGCAGCGGAATCGGCGTTCTGGAGCCTGTTTTTGATTGTTTCATTGGATTGTACTATTTTACTATACAAATCGAGTCAATCGAATTTTCGTGGATTTTGCCTCTCTGTAGACGACCAAGCCTCTTCCGATCACCGTACCTCCACGGGAATTCCCTCGGAAGCCTATCGGCCGCACCTCTACCACCGTACAGCACGACTGTTACCCAAGCGGAAAGTCTCTGGTCCAGAGCAGAAAGCCACCATCATTGATAAAGCACTGCAAATTGAAGGTTTTCTTTTCTCTACCGCCGACCGTCAAGTTGGAAAAATCCAGCTTCAAGATCAAGTTTGCAGGTGCAGAATTGCATACCATCCCTCATACAATCTCTATGGAAACCGGGAGGCACAACAATCTCTACCGTCAAAAGCGCCATTGTCGACCCTTTTTCGATCGGAAGATCCTTCTTCGATTACACGTGTAAAGAAGAAGAATCGCTTATCCTCAGCCCTATCAACACAAGAACAAGACTCAAGCCTACCAGTATCCGCGAATCGCGCGAAAGATAACATTGTACCTCTATCGATCAACACGAACTCTCCGTACGGATCGAACAATTTTGCATTACGCTAAAAGCTAGTGTAAAGATCTTTCGAGTGTTTTGAGTTTGAGAGAATGAAAGTTATGAGAGGATTAGAAAGCTATGAAAACTAATCAACGAGAGAGATCCACAATCAAAGGATCGTAGATCTGAACTCCCGCGGGAGACTGTGGAGTGTGATAGAGTAGGTTGCGGTAGCAATCCTACTCACTCCACGATCCAAAAACGGAACGCGTGGAAGATTCGTCTAGTATTTATCTAGTAGCGTGGAAGTAC